ATTGACAGAAACTTTCTCAACACATTTCTTTTAGACGCATTGAAAAAGGGAACCAACTTTCCGTCGGGATAGAAGAGTGCAAATTTGTGCTGTTTGGACATGAAACCAGCTTCCAGATCACGCAGCTTTATTCCATCCAATGGTAACATGTACTTCTTTTCTTTTTCCTACAAATTCCTTAACAACTATTACTACGATTTGCTTGGACTACCCAACACAAGAACGGTGCGCAAATAGTTATAAAAGACTGCATATCTCCCAGAACATTACTTCTTCTTAGCAACTTTAGAAGGCTCAGCATTTAGTAAAGCTCAAAATTAAAAGAAAACTGAAAAAAAGAATTAGCAAATTTTTCACTGAAAAGGGATACAGGCGATTCCTGCTGATTCTTACTTTACTGGAGTATTCTCTCCCTTACAAATTCAACAAGTCCTCTAGAAAAGAGACTGGAGCTGTCACGTGCCAACTGGCAAATAGGTGGCTACAAAAAATGATCTACGGGTAGAAATGACACAAAGTAAGCAAATCTTCTCTGAAAAAGGGAGAAAGCAAAAATTAATAAATAGCGGCGCGCACCAGGCAGCCGGTGCGATCACGCGTTTTGTGCAATTCCGCTCACCGAAAGATTGCCTACTAATGATTTTCATTGCTTTGCACTTTGGTCTGTCCAAAAATAGTTAAAATGTCTGGTTCGTAAGTTGCGGAATTCCCCACTAAAAATATCACGCAAACGAGATAATAATTTCTTTATAAAAACTTTTACGAGGCTGTACATGGTGTCCAGGGGTGCTTCAAAGCTGAATCCAAATTTGCAAAGTCATATGTTTATAGAGGAAATCACCCAAAAATTTCAGATTTTCAACTTCCGCCATCCCCGAGATAATTTTCCCCGCCGAAACTTTCACAGGGCCGTAAGTGATACTCGGAAGCGCGGGAAGCTGAATATAAAATTGCAGTCTTGTATGTGGACAAAAAACATTACCACAAAATTTAACTTCTTGGCTTTTATGGT